TAGGCCACACTGGCTGTGGTATCACCTGGTATCACAACTGCACTCCAGACAACAGATCTCTCTCTCCCCCTAGAGAAAATAACTGCTTCGGAGTGTGGACTCTATGGCATTCTATTCAGCTGAGGCCTCTCCCCTCCCCCAAACTCTGGCTTCTGTAGACTCCACCACAAAATATCCAGGAATTTCCCAACCTTGAGCTGGCATCCCTAGTCAGGAATGGCACCAATGAGTTCCCCACGAAGGCCAAAGTAGGCCTAGAAAGGGCCTCCTATCTTTGCCTTTTTACTGACAAAACCAAGCTTGGTTGCCTAGCAACAGCCACTGAGGGGGAAGTTATCCCCACAGCAGGGAGATAAGAAAATGGTTTGAGGACCGGTAGCTCACCTCAGTAGCCAGCCAGAGGAGCCAAACAGGAGAAGCGTCTTCATCAGGAGAGACAGCTGTTTTGACAGTTTATTCTATCTAGTATCAGCCATCTCCAGGGGAACTGATCTCTATCATCTGGAGATCAATAGTAACAGCAGGAGATCTCCAGGTGATGTAGCGCATTGCACGGCCAATGGGAGAGCTAGGAACAGCCAATACACTAAAAGGATTATTATACAGAGATTTCAGCTGGATATCTGGTATAGTAGGATGACAAATGGAACAGTGCAAGCAAATTTTTTGCACAGCTCATCATATGGGGTTTAATAAGGAGCCAGGTGGCTTCTTAAAAATGGGGGGGGGACACATCATGCAGATGAACGTTGTCTTTCTTTCCCTGTTGTTTTTCCTTCCTTGTGGTTTGTGTGGGACACTGCACTGGTGCCTTGCACAAAGGGGGTGGAGGCTAGAAGCTTAGAATAAACTCTGCAAGCAGTCCAACATTCTGTTTCCAACAACAGCCAGCCAGTCAGATGCCTCTGCAAAGCTCATAGGTAGGTATGATGTCATATCCCTGCCCTGCTGTTAGCCCCCTGGCATGTATCAATCAAAAGGTACATTGCCTCTAAGGATGGAAGCTCCATCTGACAGTACCCCGAAAACAGTGCTAAAAAAATCGAACACCCAGGGGCTCCAACCCACCTTTCCCTTAAACATTACACAAACGGTATCAAATGCCAGGAGCAAAGGGGAAGGATCCTGAGAAGGCTGACAAATGCAACTTATCTCTCATTTTCCAGTTCCCATGAGGTTCTATCTTCCTTCCCTTCCCCCTCTTCTAACTCATCCTGCACGCTCTTCATTCCTCCCGTCCCCCCTCCCTTTTCCCCTCTCCTCCTTTTTCCTCCGCTCCAACTTTTCCCCAAGCATTGGATCTACCCCAGATGTTTCAAGGATGAGGCCACCCATTGCAAGGCAAGGTGTGGCAGCTGGAAGAGGAACCTCCTTGGGCACCACACAGTGTGTGCCAGCGACTCACAGCCGTGCACTGTGTGTACTCACCAGCGGGCAGCAAAGGCCGGGGAAGGGACACAGGCGGAGGAGGAAGTGGTTGAGGAGCACTGTGGAGAGAGATGGGAAGGAAAGAGCTGAGCTGGGCATTGGAGCTGCGCAGGGCTGAACTCTCATCCCACATGGAAAGGAGCCAGCAACAAAATAGTTAGCCAGCAGGGAAGGAGGGCGAGAGAGTGAGTCCCTCTGGCAGGGCGCTCAAAGGAGCCAGATCCGGTGGAGGCAGGCGGGACACAGCAGAGTCCTAAAGGCCAACAGCGCAGCCGAGGCGTCTTATGCTACAGTAAATCGGTAAATGTCAGGAGTTTGGTAAATGTTGACCCTCACCGGTAATTCTTTTACTACCTTATGTAACTATAGCAATATAAGGCCCGTTGCAGAAAGAAATGCAACAAGCTCTAGAAAAAGGGCCTGGGAGAGTATGCTGGCCTGCATTTCCCCCCCCCCCAGCAGCATGGCCAGACAACCGCTGCCGTGGGTGGCCCCCCGCCCTGACTCTAGCTGTGCAGCTTTTCCACCTTCCTTCCCGCCCCCCGCTCCCACCCCGCTGTGCCTTGCAGCCCTTTTAAACGCCGTGAGACAGGCAGTTGAGCTGGTGTGTGAGGCAGAGCCAGTTTGCCTGGCTGGAGCAGGGGAGGAGAGGTGAGTGGCCGGGGCGGTGGCAGCGTGTGGGGGGAACCGGCCGCTGGGTCCTCGCTCCATGTATGGGGTGCGGCACGCTAGGAATGGAGGGGGCCGTGGCAGCCAACCGAAGTGAGGATTCTCCTCCCCACCCCCGACACTGCGTGTGAGCCAGAGGGAAGGAGGCCCCAGCCATCCCCAGCCCCACATAGAGTCCCGTCTGTCCCTCCCGTGGGCTCCAAGCACACTGAGCTGGAGACGGAGGCGGTGCTTCTGTGGGTGGGACCCCGCAACCCAGGCAGCCAACACAGCCAGTGCCTTCTGAGTGGCAGTTCAGGCTGCCATCTGATTTTGGCGCACATTGAATCTTGCCACCCCAAAAGACGGTTATATATAAGGAGAGATGCATGTCACATCCTCAAGATCTAGTTGAACGTTAGTTCCCTAAAACAGCTGAAATACCATATGAGGGTTTGTTCTCATCATTTGTGATCTAGCTGCTCTTGTCCAGATTGTCTCACTTTGATGGAGAGCATGTTTTTGTAGAAAGGAGTTGTTGGCAGTAGGGAGACAAGTTTAGTGTATTAATTTATACATGAACAAATCTTACATTCCATAAAAAGCCATGCTTCTTTTGACATTTTAATCTATGGCTTAATCTTTGTTGCTCCCTTTCCCTTGATGTGGAGTCGTAAAGATTTAAGAGATGCTCAATAGTTAATTCCCTTGCATTTATGTAGTTCAAAAACAAAATTAAATGAAGCAAAGCAAACAAGAAGATCAGTTTCCTGTAATCTTCCAAGGAATCAATTTGACTTTTCCTAGATGTACAATCTACATCTCATCTACAATCTACACCTCATCAAACAACGAAGACACAAAACCTGATTTCATATTTAAAAGTATACATTTACTTGATATTTAGTTTCAGCTAGCTGGTTGCGAATGTAACAAAAACATTCTGCCATGACTGATGTCACAGCAACGTCCATGAGAAATGAACTTTAATGCCAGAAAAGGAAACTTCAAACATAGGGGATTTTTAGTGGTTTTGGTAGATAATACCAAGTGGAAATACTGGCTGGAAAGAAAAAATACTAATCACAAATTCTGTTACACGTCAAGCTATAATTACACGGCCATAGGAATTATTACTAAAATTTATTCCAATTACGTTTACCATTTAAACATAACTCCACCCACTTTAACTACTGTGAATTATTTTTTAACTGATTGACAAGACTTCTAGGACTGATTCATACATGTAGATTACTGCAACATGTCCTTACTTGATGGTTCTCTAATGAGTGTGAATTGCCTCCGTGGAAAAGTTATGTTTCTGATGTGGTTTGGGCTCTGATCATCTTAGTAGCAGACTGATGACTGCAAGCCATTACACCATGTGTGAAATTGTTTCCTGTGTATAAGTGTACTAGAGTAGGGTTTCTTTTGCCGCATGAAAAGAGTTACCAAAAAAAAAAACCACACCCCACAGAAACAGGCTGTAAGGTATCTAACTATACCCAAATATACCTAAATAGTAAAGACTGTTAAA